CTGTTTCATCGTCATAAACCATCAGAAAGATGCCAGGCGCCGTTGCATTGGTGTTTGTCAGCAGATATGCGTAATATGGCGGCGATTGTCGGTCAGTTCCGTTACTGGTGCGTCAAGAGAAGGAAGCGCATTTGTCGTCCCGGAATAAATCGCCTGAATCAATACGCGGTGGAATAAGGTATTTAGTAATCGCCGTACAGACGATCGACGATGGATTTCACGACGAGCTGCCAGCCGACACCAGCGCCATAGTTCGCAGCCAACGGAATATATTTTCTGACATATGCGCTTAAGCCGTTCGATATTTCGTATCGTGGTCGATGTTATTTTATTGCATTTTCACAGTCTTCGTCCGTCGGAAGTCCGGTTGAAGAGAAAGTCCCTGTTGAACCGCCGAGAATAAGCCGGAATATTGCCAGCGGCGCAGAATCGAAATATCAAATGTTCGCGCGCATTTTATGTTTCGAAGCGGTGCCCGTGATCACTGGATGCCGTATTTTCGAACATTTATACTTTCTGAAGGCAAGCGGTTCGAATCGATCCGGATTTAACGTAACGAATCACCATTTTTAGCGCGGTAAGACGCGGGTCGTATTTAACTTTCATAATCACGAAGCGCATTTAAGATCGACGGGGAGTCAGTGGTCAGGTTGACGACTTCTGGTGCCGTTGAACAGTTGTTCTCAGTTAACGATGTTGCGCCGCCGATCGATTACCCACTGGTGACCGGCCATTTTAGACCGCCATATGCTGAATATTGCCAAATCATCAATTCCGGTCAAAACTAAATCACTTTGTTTCGCAGTTACGGTCAATACGTTCGTCGATGAAGAATTATGTCAGAAACAATCGTATATCAAACAGATGTCGTGAGTTTGACTGGCGTTGCAGTCGTTCATTGTACGAACAAAGTTGACACGAGCAATCGTCTGTCATTGCAATTTCAATACGAACCGGACAGACACTACGCATTTTGTCTCGACGAAGTTCTGCGACAGACGGAATACCTGAACAGCAAAGGAACACCGTGGGGACATTGCATGAGCGATAGAGAAGTCTTTCCACAACGAAGGCGTTCTACCAACCAACTCGTGTTCAAGGTCGTCGTGAAGCGTGATGTCATCACCGTCGTGAAATTTCCGCCGCAGACGGCCGGATATTCAGGTGGCAAGGTGGATATCGTCAACATACTGCAGAGCATGATGCTTAAATTGTTATCAGCGTAAACAACATTGCATCAGCCAGATTGCCAAAGTTGGTCGACAACAAAATAAAATTAAAGACATGCATTGTTTTGACATTCCCCTCAACCGAAAGATCAAACTCGTGCCATCAGCCTCTTTACAAACAGCTTCGTAATAAAGATGCAGCGTTTCTGCAATATCAAACCACCAGATTCCGCGAAAGATGCGGCAAACCGTTAATAATGTAGACAATATATTCCGTCCTCACGATATCGGCGATACCAAGGTACTAACATCAACAACACGTTCGTTATTGTTCCAGTCAGTCTTCAAGAAATGCGGAGTTTACGAGGCATTTTGAAAAGCCGGGCAACAGCATTTGTGGCACGACGCACCGTTCGCCGCTTCCCGTACTAATTAGGTCACAGTCAGTCGACGAGCGCAAAATTCTAAATTTTAAAAAAGCGTTTTATCGCTCATCCATGCCAACGAACTCTTTCGTTACCGAAGTACGATTACGGTCGTCATCAGCGATTAATAATGCTGATTACGGAAATGCCGAAGCGAAAAAATGCGGTTTTCGGCAGCGGAGACTTTGATTTTGAAGAAAAGCCGTTTTTACGTTATTAAAGGTAAAAGCAATTTATTGTTTATCGGGTAGTTCGACTGCGCAAAGGTGCCCTGCATACAAGCGCATTACTGTCAGCGTTGACGGACAGATACATAGCGCTATTGGCGACACACGAACGCTTAGTCGTTACGGATGAACAACACCGCCATTCGTTTGGGTTTGAGGCCGACTTGAGCAATATAGCCGAAATTACGGTTCAGGAAACACAGAATAGGCGGGAATTCATCGCGGTTGAAGATGAAGGCGAAAAGCCGAAGTATACGTTGAGTCGTTGTATGACGAAGTGATCGAGGCCGTACTAAACACTTCTGTTATCATTGGTTTTGTGCATTTGCCGTTGTTGGTTACTCGCGCCAGTACTTTTTAGCAGCAGTGTGTGCACAGATATCGGTTTTGGCGGTATAGCGGTATGGTGGCAGCAATGTAGCCAGTCGTAGCCAGCGGTATATACGCAGTAGTATGAAGCCAGCGGTATGCTCGGTGGTAGCAGCAGAAGAGACAGAAGTTGGCAGTATGCGAGTTAAAGGCTACTGCGGCATGCAGCCGCCAGGCTATGGTATACGGTTGCTGCGGTATACGGCTGGCGGTATACGTAGTCAGCGGCATACGAAGCTGGCATAACATTATGGAAACAGCTGTTAGCGAATACAGCGGAAGCCAAATGTTTTCAGATAGATGTCGTTTACTGCGGACTGACCTGGCTGCGAGCCGGCAATATAAAGCCATCGGTTGTAATATTTCAGTGTATAGCTGTTCAGAGATTTGCAATGATTAGCTGACAAAAGTAAAATTGTGATGCCAGCGTTATATTGTTCAGATAAGCAGACTATATCATCATCATTCCTCTTTCTAAAAGAAATAATAATATAGGCCGCAAAACCGTGCGTCATTAAAGCCGCGCCAAATGTCACAACAGCTTCGCCTGTCATGGTCATTATTTTGTGAGCAGCGTAAAAGTATATATAAAGCGCCCACCGACAATAAGCCGCCCCTTGGCAATCCCACAGAAATTTACTCTTTGTCAACGTGACAGCATGATTCGGCTGCTATTAAATCATTCTCGTCTATAATACGTACACAGACCTTGTGTGCATATTTTTCGCATTTGTGTACGCTTTTAGAATGTATTATTAGGGTAGAAACATGGCTCGTCTTCTGCTTGCTTTCGGGTACTTCTGACAGAAAATACACAAGGTCCAGTCCACTGTACCCCCGGAGTAAAGAGCAGTATCCTTCATCTGAAACACCAGTCTGTTTATTTCGCTTGTGAAGCATTTGACTGTTCCTTGGCAAGCCTTACATTTATTTTCCATTAATTTGCGTATGCCAGCTTCGTATATACCGCTGGCTACGCATACTACCGCTAGCTACGTATATACCGCTAGCTATTATATGTACCGCTGGCTACGTATATACCGCCCCAGCTACGCATATACCGCTGGCTACGTATATACCGCGTATATACCGCTAGCTACGTATATACCGCTAGCTACGTATATACCGCTGGCTACGTATATACCGCAAGCTACGTATATACCGCTGGCTACGTATATACCGCTACCTACGTATATACCGCTGGCTACGTATATACCGCTGGCTACGTATATACCGCTGGCTACGTATATACCGCCACTGATGACCTATCCTGGTACACACACACTGCACCTTTTTGAATAAAAGTACAAGCAGTGCGCCAACAAACCTAAACTCTCTGGCACAAAGATTCCTAAAACCAAATATGTGATAGCAAAGTCTTTTTAGTACAGCCTCGATCCTTCAGTCATAGTAATGGCTTGTATGCATATACTTCTGCAACTTTCGCCTTTCATCTTCATACTATGTATTTGACACATTATCGGATAGGGTTCCCACCTGTTCCTGTGATTTCCTGAACTGTTCTGTGGGTAATTATGTTGCTAAAATCATGAATCAACCTCATTGCATGAATGAAAGCAGTTTCATTTGATTCATTTGACATGCATGTGAAGCAGTATAAAAGCATTCGTGTGGCATACATGTAAAACGCCTATCGCATCCCGTCACACTCATTAACCTTTGAAGTAATTATGCACTTATTATGCAAATTTTGTGATCTAAACAGTTTGCCTGGAATATAATTCTGTCAACAAAAGGAAAACATTCAGCCTTGCTTTGCATTTTTTTGCTAAAATGCTTGTAAAAGTAGCTCTTCACGCAAAATCTAAAGTCGCCCATAAGGGAAATATTTGCAAAATACAATTTTTTCCTTCAGCATTTCCATGAAATCCAACATTGTGAAATCCTTTTGGTAACATTATTAATCAATATATTGTAAAAGAGTTCATTGTATGGATGGAGAACGATAAATAAAACACTTTTTTAAAAATTTAAATTTTGCACTCATTGACCTTTGACCTCTTATTTGTGACCTAATTAGGCATTTTGAGCTTAGCAAACAACAGATTCGTATTCAGCACGAAAACTACCCTAGAAAATGCTATTTGCTGGCTTTTACTCAAAATGCCTCATGCATCATTAAACTCCACATTTCTTAGAATTTGACTAGACGATAAGCGGGTAAAGTTGTGACAGGCGCTGACAGTCTAAGGGAGATAATTTAAGTTACCTTAGAATTAATGCCGACACTATCATTGAGTTGGGATATATTAATGTTGCACGGCAACTGGTAAGTAAATCTACATTATTGAAGCAGTTTTGTACATCTCACCAGGATATCTGGTGGTTTCAGATTATGTTGATGTACAGATATTGTAGAAACAGCCGTTTTGCGTCTGGTTACAGAATGTATGTTGTAAGAGGCTGTGCTGAAGTTTGATCTTTCAGTTGGGGGAATGTCCAAAATGATGCATGTCTTGGGTGTTTATTTTGTTGTCGACCAACGGCTTGGTGCTGACAAATCTAATGATGCAATGTTGTTGCTGATAATGAACAAAGAAAACACAGCGCCTCACATATCGCCATCGTATTGCTCCTCTGAGTGTTGACATTATCCACACACTGCCACCTGGATCCATTGTCTGCGGCGGAGTTGATCCTGAGAGTCACATTGTGTTGTGTGGCATCACAGCTCACATTGACCCGACCTGACAGATACTTGAAGACACGAGGGTTGGATACACTGGGACTGGTGGAACCTTGTGTTGTGGAGAAGACTACTCTATCATTTATGCTCCACTGTCTGTCTTGTCCCACAGTTGTGTTTCTGCTGCAGATCAGGGTGAACAGTTCTCCATCTGTCACTGTCATGGGGGAACTTGTCAGGACTAAAGAACCTGATAAAAATCGCACATGAAAAAGATGTCACAATCTTATTAAACCCGGGGACAAAAATAAGTTAGTAAGTATAATGTGATGTACAAAAGATAAGGATTACTCGTATGCTGTTCTGCATTACAAGTAAAGACATTTCCCCATGCCGTTAATGTCATCCCACGACTATCTGTTTTAGTCTTCCTGATTGAAGGTTATTTCACCTTCTCGAATGTTTCTGAGTACATAGACATTCTTTCAATATTGAGACATGCTGATGAATTCATAGCTGCAGAGCTAAAGTGAGTGAGTGAGTTTAGTTTTATTAGAGTGAGTGAGTTTAGCAATATTCCAGCTATATGGCGGCAGTCTGTAAATAATCCAGTCTGGACCAGACAATCCAGTGATCAACAGCACGAGCATCGACCTGTGCAACTGGGAACCGATGACATGTGTCAACCAAGTCAACGAGCCTGACCACCCGATCCCGTCAGTCGCCTCTTACGACATGCATATGCATTGGTTACTGAAGGTTCATTCTGACCCGCATCTTACACGGGTTTGCAGCGCTAAAGACGTTGATTTAGTTTTCTGTTACATTAAATCCGAATCGGGATTCGAACCCACTACCTTCAGAAAGTACTCAATGATGTATTCCGAAATACAGCATGTGTTACATCTGACCACTTCCTGAAAGGCACTGTATATTGCATCACCGTTGTTGTGACTGACTGACTGAGTTTGGTTTTACGCCGCTTTTAGCAATATTCCAGCAATATCACGGCGGGGGACACCAGAAATGGGTTTCACTCATTGTACCCATGTGAGGATTCGAACCCGGGGTCTTCGGCGCCGTTGTTGTGAGTCGCATTAACACGACACTGCAAACATTGGATTGGAAGACTATTCTGCATGAAGAACATATGCACAAGAGTAAGTAGTTTATATTACGATACAAGTATCAGGTAGCTAAACGCATATGTCAGGAAAATACTATTCCGTTTAACGAGCACCCACCTACGTGTTCTGTGAAGCCAACGAATGTCAGTAGCATCAGTCGTGAAATCCGATACATGACCATCATACAATCAGCGTGGTCCGTCTGTAAAATACACAGCAGTTGCTCATCCATTCTGTTATTCTACATATTGGTGACCTAGGCAGTTCCGATATTCCAGGACAGTGTCACAGTATGCACTCTCTTCTCTTAATTTTCTCTGAAATAACGTTCTTTGATGTCAGCGTCTAAATCGCGTACTTTATATTACACATCTCTATCTCCCTGAGAGTAAACCTGTGTATACGTGTAGCAATGACACATCACCCTGTAATCACTGTGTCGTTTATATTGACAGTAAACAAGATGTGTGTACACATGTAACGGATACTGATTAGGTGCAAAGGTATGTATTTTCTCCAAGCGAAAAAAAAAGCACTCATTCCTATAAATACTTTGATACGTTGACCTAATGTAAATGCCAGAATACCTTCGAAATATTCCAGAATAATGTGCCAAGCAGTGACTGAGTGAGTATGGTTTTACGCCACTTTTAGCAATATTCCAGCAACATCACGGGACACCAGACACGGGCTTCACACATTGTACCCATGTGGGGAACCGAACCCCGGGTCTTCGTCGTGACGAGCGAGCGCTCTGGCCACTAAGCTACCCTACCGCCCCTTGTACAAAGGAAGTGAGATGTAGGGATTTGTCCGGGTCAGTGTCACCATCCTCATCTAGCACTGCAGTGATGACCTATCTACAGATAACAGTATTATCCTTACACCCTGTAAACAGTCGAACATCGTTGTGTTGAAGTTGAAGAAACACGTAAATTCGTCGAGTTTCACAAGGTTCAACACAACATTAAATAATGGCTGAAACAAATTCGGAGGCATTTACTTCGAAACAACCGTTGGTTTCATACATCAAAGTTCCACACAGCAGTGTTTATCTGTACTTCAAGAGCTTCGTGTCAACAGAGTTGCATTAACCTGTGTATGTACATAACATGGGAGGCGTCCCGGGGTCTCCGTGGCGTAGTCAGTAAGCTATCCGTCACAAGATACGATAATGTTAAACAGTCAGCTTGGTAATTATTTTCTCAAACAAGGAAGTTGTTGTTGTTACGCACTCACCACTTGACACATTACAGTGCACATATTATGACGCTATCATTATCAGCGTATACACCCCTCTGCCATCTTCACTCACCATCTGCGGGAGTACAACAGGCTAACTTTCATCTCATCCTCGATAATCTCCAGGGTATACGTTACGATAACTCTCCAGTGGAGATTATCGAGGATGACTTTCATCTATGCGAGATCATTTCAGCGGTCTGATGAGTTTTACTTTCATTCCTTGGTTCTGTTAAGGTGTAAGGGTCAGACGCTATGTGCTCGGGTTCCCGTACCTCTTCACAGAACTTTAACGTATACCTTCCCTTAATCACATTTTATTAAAATAGTTTGTAAACTTGATAAGTAACACAATGCACCAATGTTTGTTGTATGTTATGTAAAAGATTAACCAGTTAGGGCTTTCCTCAGAGATACCATTTGGTGTACAGGACAAAAGAGCTTTGAAAATCACGTGAATGGACCACTGAAAATCAGTGCTGACACCAAGTGTTCGCGAAAAGTGTAGGTATGCCCTGCCCTACTGGTAGCAAATGCCATTGTTACGGCATCCCCCTTGTAGTCTCTCTGTGTGAATGTCAATATAGAAGTACAATGTATGCGTTTCACATTACAGTACTTACTTATCTTAGCCTGGTGGACGGGTACTCACCTATGCTATCTGTGCAGCCTACAAGGAACACGAGACGGAAGACAACTGTGTCAACTGAAGTTTCCTCTCCTCACCGTCAGTGTTGACAACACCAACCAACAGTCCGTATAGCATATGGACACACCCCACATTCATAGCAGCTACTGTGACAACTGAAGCTTCCTCTTCTCACCGTCAGTGTTGACAACACCAACCAACAGTCTGTATAGCATATGGATACACCCAGAGTGATAGCAGCTACTTTGTCACTCACAGTTTGCACACTAGAGCTGCGCATTTCTCGAGTCACAAGGTATTGTAAATAGTAACTAGAGCGTGCATCTCTCCAACCCGGAAGTACGTTCAATGATTTAGGCTCAACACGACCGGGATGCGGTGTGATCTACCCACTAATATGTGGGCATGTTAAAGTCATGTTGCATACCATTCACAATTTCATGCCAAACCTCTCTCTCTCAGTCTCTCTCTGACATCGACAATGCCAGTGAATGGTAACAAACTCCCACCTCCTAACCCGTTATCTACTTGTGCGAACCAGTTTTAGTCCTGTGGATGACAAACCTGTGTTACACAGGGATGTGTAGTCTGTCTCACAGTCCCTGAACCACATTATTTTCCCTACTGCCTAGCCCTCTCTGCAGTGCTAAAGCCCTAAGTGAAGCAAGTCTAGATTTCCTCAGGTTCAGGTTCAGGTTCTGAATCTCTGGTCTCCCTAGGGCTCCTTTTGAATTTAAATGGGCTTGGCTGGTTTGTTACTATCAAAATTATATATATTCAGAGACTAAGCATTAGTCTAAGGGACGTGCTGCGATCCCCTCTCGTGCTACGAGGTGAAACAGTGTGAGCACCCAGAGTGTACTTTAGATGAACCAGTAACGCATACTCCTCTGAAGTCTTAGTAACAAATGTATCAATGAACGAATTGTGTTCCACCCTCGTTTAAGCCTGGTTGTTACATTTGTTTGAGTGGCATTCTAGAAGTTGGTGAGTGAGTGAGTGAGTTAATATTTAACGTCACATCGGCAATATTTCAGCCATATCGTGACGAGAACATTTGATATTGATATAAAATATATGTATGTTATAAAACACCTGCCGACGAAGGACAGTAAAACAACTAGAGTATCACAGATATACATGTAAAACTAGTAATTGGATCTAAAACATTTTAACCACAGGGGACAACACAATATAAAAATTGGCTATAGATCACCAACAACTGAAAGTAGGTCACCATACTAGGGTCCATGAGGACTTACAGTACCTTTGCTACCTGCATGGACCCTAGTTGGATTTACACCATCCCTTCAGCCGCTGGTGATTGTAGGATAATTTAGCCAAAATCTAAATGAACGAAAATACTACGTTTAAAAACTTGGTATGTGAAAATTCTACTTTGGAAGTTTTGGGACTTACGTACCCTCTCAGGAGGACCTAGAAGTTGGTGGTATAGAGATGACAAAACTTTAGGGATAGCATATGCTTGAAAACGGTAAAAGAATCTATACCAAAAATAAAGAAGTTGATCATCCATAACGTTTCGTCATCTCTGGCTGCTACACTTGGTTACAGAGAAAGTCACAATGTAACTGTAATTGTGTTGACATGAACAGGGAATACTGTATTCGTGGGATACCATAGAAGATAAACGAGTTCCGTTAACACGGTATCTAATGGGTGGGTGTGTTAGTTTGATCACCCAATTCAAATGACACATGTAAATATGAAGAGCAATGTCTGTTTGTTCTAAGGAAATACGTCGTCATATGAGCGAAATATTCTCAAGCACGACGTAAAACCCAATTTCACCTCACCTCGCCTCTAATGAAATACATGTACTGTTGCAAATCCGGTAGCGTATGAACATTGATATGTACTTTTCAACGTTTGTTAAGTATCACGTTTTGATGATATCAAACAATCATCCAGCAGATAAAGATTAAAATATCCCGGTACACGATGATAGGTAACCCCTACTGGACCTCAGTTTCAAGAGGAACGAGCTGCAGATCGCCTTCTCCCGACATCCTGTCTCCCAACAACTGTTCAGGTTTGTTACTTCGTTATGTAACGTCGAAATCAGCAATATTCCAGCTATATGGCGGCAGTCTGTAAATAATCCAGTCTGGACCAGACAATCCAGTGATCAACAGCATGAGCATCGATATATGCAGTTGGGATACGATGACGTGTGTCAACCAAGTCAGCGAGCCTGACCATCCGATCACGTTCCTCGCCCCTAACGGAATGCATGGGTTGCTGAAAACCAATTCTAACCCGGGTCTTCACGGGTTCCAACAGCGCTACAGGAGCCCAGCAATGAAGAGCGAGACAATCATCCATTGGCAATCGGAGATGATGGCGCCTGGATATAATCTTGTGTGTTTTGAAATATGGGTCTGTTTCTGTGATTTGCTGACGTTTCAATTTCGGTCAGATACTTTAATTTTGACATGTCATCTGAGTGATTATTGCTCACATGCTGTTTGTCATTGTCATGTCAGACCACAGACTTCACGCCATGTTGACTATGGTTATCTCAACACATACACTCGATTAGATTATTTCCTTAAAAAGGTCATCAATAACATAGAGAAGCATACGCTCAAACATGGACGATGTGAACATGTCTGTACATCTAGTGGTGGTCCGATTAATTGAAATAATCGAAGATTGGTCGCAGTGACTAAACGACCAAGCAATCGATCATGTTTTCTCATGATCGAACACAAACAATTCTTGAAACACTTGTTTTCATAAACAATATTTTTCACAAGGTTGTTTTTGTCTGTTACATTTCATAAGCACTACAAGCTCGTTTCAAGTCATGATTGAATTTATCTTAAAGACTCCAGAAATTTATGCTCCTGGCATACTAGTCATCCTTTAAAGAAGTGAAATTTTGCCCAAAACACCCCAAAAGAACTACATGTTTTTTCCTTATATTTATGTGCATTAACAAACATTAATGACGCTAACCAAATTTTTTCGATGATTGATCGGTTGTAATAAACCAATCATTATGAGATTTTAACCAATTCCCAACGCTAGTGTACACACAATAATCAAGGGTTCTTTGTTCTATTACGCCCATTAATGATTTTATGAGCACTTCAGTCAGTTTACCCTAATAGAGTTACCTCCCCCGGTGGGACTCTTCCGGAGGAGATAGACTTGTGATCCCTCACAACATGATGTCGTCTGCTTTCTGTAGCTCACATTTAGGAACCATATTAACCAAGGTTAGGCAATTACATAGTCCCCACAGTGTAAGTTTTATTCCCTTTTATCTCTGTAAGGTTTTTGTCACTTTCACTATTACTTTTAGTCAGGAAATGAGCATTAAATGTAATTTTAAATGTTTTGAACTTGTTCTGTGTTTTGGCTCCATTAGTAGAGGTTACACATTTTTACTTCACTGAAAATATGATTTTATATTTGAATTCTCTCTTTATTAGTTATTGATGTAGGAATCATTTCCATGAGTTAAATGCATTCTTGTTTCATATTAGAATGTCTAAATAAGCTTAAACATTTTGTACAGTTTTATTTCAATGACTTTCTAAATTATCAAGTCATTACTGATTTTATTTACCCATTATTGTAGAACTAATTCCATCTTTTTATGTCCATTTCAGTCTTTTATACAAGACTGAATAACTGGTCACTGTACATTCTTGCTATTAGGTGTGCAGTTATGACAGTAGCAAGGATCAACTTCAATATTTACGTTTAACTTCAACTAAAGATAGTTTAAGTGCATGGAACAGCTGCGATCACTCAACACAACGCCAAATAGGGCGGGTCTCCTAATCTCAGGTCCACATTCTGACGCTGCCCACATCCTCGCGGTGCATTGCTCGGTTTCCCAGACGCATCAGCAAGTTTATCCGGGAAGTGATGTCAATGTGACGGCAAGGGAAGAAATATTATCTGTATAACACTGCACTGAAATAGAGGATAATGTCAGTTACGACTTAAAGCCGAGAGCATCGACACCGTCAGTAAGAAGAAATAACTATCATCTAACACTATTGTTTTACAACAAAGATCAACCATATCACTCCTCACATCTCGGGTGTCTTGGGCGCCAAGTCTGAAGCCAGGTACACGTTTTATAAGTCCCGCCGTTTTATAAGTACCGCCGTTTTAACTGGTATTAGACAGTTCCATGTCAGGGACACCAGAAATGAGCTTCAGACAACGTACCTGAACATGGAATGTGACCTGGGCGTGGGAGGGAACGCTTTAACCACTCGGCCACCTCACCGCCTGACCAAACCACCAAAGCCTTGACACCAGATGAAAGGTGTGGATTCGAGGGTCTAAGAGATCAGTTCGGACATATGTACCCAAGTAGCGTCTGCCACATCTGGCCTACTAGTGTCATGTTGGGATGAACGTCGTTGTTTTCTGACGCTACACTCATGTCCCAGAAGTCCAGGTAATACACATAGTGTGGTGTCTCTGTACCTCCACGGTGTTCACTGTGTAGTGTTGTAGTAGGCCGTGCATCTTGTACCACGGTCTGTATTCACGTAGTATGGTGTCTCTGTACCTCCACGGTGTTCACTGTGTAGTGTTGTAGTAGGCCGTGCATCTTGTACCACGGTCTGTATTCACGTAGTGTGGTGTCTCTGTACCTCCACGGTGTTCACTGTGTAGTGTTGTAGTAGGCCATGTCTCCTGTCTGTATTCACGTAGTGTGGTGTCTCTGTACCTCCACGGTGTTCACTGTGTAGTGTTGTAGTAGGCCGTGTCTCCTGTTTGTATTCACGTAGTGTGGTGTCTCTGTACCTCCACGGTGTTCACTGTGTAGTGTTGTAGTAGGCCGTGCATCTTGTACCACGGTCTGTATTCACGTAGTATGGTGTCTCTGTACCTCCACGGTGTTCACTGTGTAGTGTTGTAGTCGCTTGTGTCTCCTGTCTGTATTCACGTAGTATGTTGTCTCTGTACCTCCACGGTGTTCACTGTGTAGTGTTGTAGTAGGCCGTGTCTGCTGTTTGTATTCACGTAGTGTGGTGTCTCTGTACCTCCACGGTGTTCACTGTGTAGTGTTGTAGTAGGCCGTGTCTCCTGTTTGTATTCACGTAGTGTGGTGTCTCTGAACCTCCACGGTGTTCACTGTGTAGTGTTGTAGTAGGCCGTGCATCTTGTACCACTCTCTGTATTCACGTAGTGTGGTGTCTCTGTACCACCACGGTGTTCACTGTGTAGTGTTGTAGTAGGCCATGTCTCCTGTCTGTATTCACGTAGTGTGGTGTCTCTGCACCCTCCACGGTGTTCACTGTGTAGTGTTGTAGTAGGCCGTGTCTCCTGTCTGTATTCACGTAGTGTGGTGTCTCTGAACCTCCACGGTGTTCACTGTGTAGTGTTGTAGTCGCCCGTGTCTCCTGTCTGTATTCACGTAGTGTGGTGTCTCTGTACCACCACGGTGTTGACGTACTGCCTCTGAGCCATGGCGTATTGGTGATCGACGTCCTCGTACGCTGATGTAGAGGCGTAAACGTTTGTAGTTTGGGCATCTGAGACAAATAACACTTCAAATGTTACTTCAAGTACAGAATGTATTTTATGACAAATTTTCGTTTGCGTCACTCGTGTCCTAGCATGTTTAGTGTACAAAGCATTCTTGTGTTTTGGACAGTCTTTCTCATTCTGTGTTTTTGTGACAGTCTAAGTCATTCTCGTTCTTGTTTTGTTGCGTCCACAGGGCGACGACAACGACAGTGACGACGCTGCCGAACACAGCACCGCCAACAGTTCCAGCTGCTACGTAGACGCCACTGGAGGAGGTAACACACGCTGTAAATGGGAAACAACAGTCACTATCCTTGGTCAAAATTCGAATTTTGTTAGGGCTCAGGGCTCACGCTACCAGAACAGAGTCGGAATTACAATCAGTGAACGGTTTCCCAACACGTGGACACAAATATCTCCCCTACGAATCTGTTGTTGTGCTGTATGAATGAATACTACAGACATTAATGACCATAACAGTGTTAAACTGAGTAGATGTAACATTGCTCAAACATACTACACAATCTAAACAATAAACATAAAACAACATGGTAATCGTTTAAGTGTATATACTTTATTTTTATAATGTATGCAATTTCAAACAATGTGAAAACGTATCGCTCCAGTTGTTTTAAGTCACTGCATATGTTTAACTGGTCAACTACACAACATGAAACAGTATATGTAACTCTGGTCAAGTTATACAACATTCTCGGTGTCTGCAATGATGCTTACTTCTGTGACAATCTTGTAGGTTGAGCTCCTGATTTCAGGAAGCGATATTGATAACTTTTAACACTTGATTCACTTTTCTAGTACTTTTTTTGTTATTATTATATGCCACATTTCTTTAGCACCCTATATGACCTACTTCCAGATCACTCTAAGGCGCTTCACAAGTTGTTTTCCCCTCGATTATCGGATGTCAGTCTCAAACGTCACATTGCATTATCAATCTCAACTCCCTGGGGCATCATACAACTCTTGCAGCCACTAGGCGCACCGAGTTAATGTGACTTTCGCATCTTTACTCGGTACCCATTCACAGCTGGGTGGACTGGGACACATAGTCACAGTACTTTGTCCAAGTTTACTGCACATTGCTGCACTCGCAACTAAGTGTTTGCACGTATTCATGAGGCCACCATGTGGTCATCTACCAACGGATTGGGTTGTTTAAGTACTGTACACTAGAGGTTGTGACAACACTGAGAGAGTTTGCACACAGAGTTGACTCCGAGGTTTTTACACCCGGTCACAGGTGGGCTCGATCCCGGCACCTCAAGCTCGTTGGATCACTAGCCTGGCGCCTTAGACAGCTCGCCCACCAAGCCCCACAAAATATGTTTTACTTGTCCAGCAGATCTGGGTTTTATCTGAAAGTAAAGCCAGCGTCCGTCACGAGCGTACCTGGACACTGCTGTGTCGTTGTCACAGGGGGAGTACTGATGGACATACTAGTGTCACCTGGGGGAATTCTTGACGCCAACGATGATGCTGCTGTTGTGGTTGTTGTAGAAACTGTAGAAACTGATGCAGAGTGTTTTGACTGGGGAACAGTCACATCTGAAGCAAAGGGGACAAGTTAATAAGTACCAAAAGGTTAAAACTTTCCGTCTTAGTCACATTCTGTTAGTGAGCGAGTGAGTGAGTGGTTTACGTCATTAAAGGTACAATGTCACACAATAGTTTGGCCTATATTATATTATTATTTCTTTTTAGAGAAGTGTGGTGTGATATAGTGCCTTATCACGGACAATAATAAGTTTCTGCCCTTTTGGCATCCCACAGAAATTTACTTTGTCAATGTGATAGCATGATTCGGCTGCTATTAAATCATTCTCGTCTATAATACGTACACAGACCTTGTGTGCATATTTTGCATTTGTGTACACTTTAGAATGTATTATTAGGGTAGAAACATGGCTCGTCTTCTGCTTGCTTTCGGCACTCTGACAGAAAATACACAAGGTCAAGTCCACTGTTGAAGTACCCCTGAGTAAAGAGCAGTATCCTTCATCTGAAACACCAGTCTGTTTATTTCCTTGTGAAGCATTTGACTGTTCCTTGGCAAGCCTTACATTTATTTTTCCCTAATTTGTGTATGCCAGCTTCGTATATACCGCTGGCTACGTATATACCGCTAGCTACGTATATACCGCTAGCTACGTATATACCGCTGGCTACGTATATACCGCTAGCTACGTATATACCGCTGGCTACGTATATACCGCGTATATACCGCTAGCTACGTATATACCGCTAGCTACGTATATACCGCTGGCTACGTATATACCGCAAGCTACGTATATACCGCTGGCTACGTATATACCGCTACCTACGTATATACCGCTGGCTACGTATATACCGCTGGCTACGTATATACCGCCACTGATGACCTATCCTGGTACACACACACTGCACCTTTTGAATAAAAAAGTACAAGCAGTGCGCCAACAAACTAAATCCTCTGGCACAAAGATTCCTAAAACCAAATATGTGATAGCAAAGTCTTTTAGTACAGCCTCGATCCTTCAGTCATAGCAATGGCTTGTATGCATATACTTTCAACTTTCGCCTTCATCTTCATACTATGTATTTGACACATTATCGGATAGGGTTCCCACCTGTTCCTGTGATTTCCTGAACTGTTCTGTGGGTAATTATGTTGCTAAAATCATGAATCAACCTCATTGCATGAATGAAAGCAGTTTCATTTGATTCATTTGACATGCATGTGAAGCAGTATAAAAGCATTCGTGTGGCATACATGTAAAAACGCCTATCGCATCCTGTCACACTCATTAACCTTTGAAGTAATTATGCACTTATTATGCAAATTTTGTGATCTAAACAGTTTGCCTGGAATATAATTCTGTCAACAAAAGGAAAACATTCAGCCTTGCTTTGCATTTTTTTGCTAAAATGCTTGTAAAAAGTAGCTCTTCACGCAAAATCTAAAAGTCGCTCCATAAGGGAAATATTTGCAAAAATACAATTTTTTTCCTTCAGCATTTCCATGAAATCCAACATTGTGAAATCCTTTGGTAACATTATTAATCAATATATTGTAAAAAGAGTTCATTGTATGGATGGAGAACGATAAATAAAACACTTTTTTAAAAATTTAAATTTTGCACTCATTGACCTTTGACCCCTATTTGTGACCTAATTAGGCATTTTTGAGCTTAGCAAACAACAGATTCGTATTCAGCACGAAAAACTACCCCAGAAAATGCTATTTGCTGGCTTTTACTCAAAAATGCCTCATGCATCATTAAACTCCACATTTCTTAGAAATTTGACTAGACGATAAGCGGGTGTGTTGTGACAGGCGCTGACAGTCTAAGGGAGATAATTTAAGTTACCTTAGAATTAATGCAGACACTATCATTGAGTTGGGATATATTAATGTTGCACGGCAACTGGTAAGTAAATCTACATTATTGAAGCAGTTTTGTACATCTCACCAGGATATCTGGTGGTTTCAGATTATGTTGATGTACAGATATTGTAGAAACAGCCGTTTTGTGTCTGGTTACAGAATGTATGTTGTAACAGGCTGTGCTGAAGTTTGATCTTTCAGTTGGGGGAATGTCCAAAATGATGCATGTCTTGGGTGTTTATTTTGTTGTCGACCAACGGCTTGGTGCTGACAAATCTAATGATGTAATGTTGTTGCTGATAATGAACAAAGAAAACACAGCGCCTCACATATCGCCATCGTATTGCTTATCTGACCGTCGAAAACATCCACACACTGCCACCTGGAACCATTGTCTGCGGCGGAGTTGATCCTGAGAGTCACATTGTGTTGTGTGGCATCACAGCTCACATTGACCCGACCTGACAGATACCTGTTGAAGATGTCAGGGTTGGGTGTACCGGGACTGAAGGAACCTTGTGCTGTGTACAAGACTATTGTATCATCTCTGCTCCACTGTCTGTGTTTTCCCAACAGTTGTGTTTCTGCTGCAGACCAGGGTGAACAGTTCTCCGTCTGTCGCTGTCATGGGGGAACTTGTCAGGACTAAAGAACCTGATAAAAATCGCACATGAAAGAGATATCACAATCTTATTAAACCCGGGGACAAAAAATAAGTTAGTAAGTATAATGTGATGTACAAAAGATAAGGATTACTCGTATGCTGTTCTGCATTACAAGTAAAGACATTTTCCCATGCCGTTAATGCCATCCCACGACTATTAGTCTTCCTGGTTGAAGGTTATTTCACCTTCTCGGATGTTTCTGAGTACATAGACATCCTTTCAATATTGAGAAGTAACTATACTAATAACATGCTGATGAATTCATAGCTGCAGAGCTAAAGTGAGTGAGTGAGTTTAGTTTTACGCCGCACTCGGCAATATTCCAGCTATATGGCGGCAGTCTGTAAATAATCCAGTCTGGACCAGACAATCCAGTACTCAACAGCACGAGCATCGACCTGTGCAATTGGGAACCGATGACATGTGTCAACCAAGTCAACGAGCCTGACCACCCTATCCCGTCAGTCGCCTCTTACGACAAGCATATGCATTGGTTACTGAAGGTTCATTCTGACCCGCATCTTACACGGGTTTGCAGCGCTAAAGACGTTGATTTAGTTTTCTGTTACATTAAATCCGAATCGGGATTCGAACCCACTACCTTCAGAAAGTACTCAATGATGAATTCCGAAATACAGCATGTGTTACATCTGACCACTTTCTGAAAGGCACTGTATATTGCATCACCGTTGTTGTGACTGACTGACTGAGTTTGGTTTTACGCCGCTTTTAGCAATATTCCAGCAATATCACGACGGGGGACACCAGAAATGGGTTTCACTCATTGTACCCTTGTGGGGATTCGAACCCGGGTCTTCGGCGCCGTTGTTGTGAGTCGCATTAACACGACACTGCAAACATTGGATTGGAAGACTATTCTGCATGAAGAACATATGCACAAGAGTAAGTGGTTTATATTACGATACTAGTATCAGGTAGCTCAACGCTTATGTCAGGAAAATACTATTCCGTTTAACGAGCACCCACCTACGTGTTCTGTGAAGCCAACGAATGTCAGCAGCATCAATCGTGATATCCGATACATGACCATCATACAATCAGCGTGGTCCGTCTGTAAAATACACAGCAGTTGCTCATCCATTCTGTTATTCTACATATTGGTGACCTAGGCAGTTCCGATATTCCAGGACAGTGTCACAGTATGCACTCTCTTCTCTTATTTATCTCTGAAATAACGTTCTTTGATGTCAGCGTCTAAATCGCGTACTTTATATTACACATCTCTATCTCCCTGAGAGTAAACCTGTGTATACATGTAGCAATGACACAACACCCTGTAATCACTGTGTCGTTTATATTGACAGTAAACAAGATGTGTTTACACATGTAACGGATACTGATCAGGTGCAAAGGTATGTATTTTCTCCAAGCGAAAAAAAGCCCTCATTCCTATAAATACTTTGATACGTTGACCTTATGTGAATGCCAGAATACCTTCGAAATATTCCAGAATAATGTGCCAAGCAGTGACTGAGTAAGTATGGTTTTACGCCACTTTTAGCAATATTCCAGCAACATCACGGCCAGGGACACCAGACATGGGCTTCACATATTGTACCTATGTGGGGAACCGAACCCGGGTCTTCGTCGTTACGAGCGGGTGCTCTGGCCACTAAGCTACCCACCACCCCTTGTACAAAGGAAGTGAGATGTAGGGATTTGTCCGGGTCAGTGTCACCATCCTCATCTAGCACTGCAGGGATGACCTGTTTACAGATTAACAGTATTATCCTTACACCCTGTAAACAGTCGAACATCGTTGTGTTGAAGTTGAAAAAACACGTAAATACGTCGAGTTTCACAAGGTTCAACACAACATTACATAATGGCTGAAACAAATTCGGAGGCATTTACTTCGAGACAACCGTTGGTTCCATCAGAGACCATATACCGGTATATGGTCTCTGGTTCCATACATCAAAGTTCCACACAGCAGTGTTTATCTGTACTTCAAGAGCTTCGTGTCAACAGAGTTGCATTAACTTGTGTATGTACATAACATGGGCGTAGTCAGTAAGCTATCCGTCACAAGATACGATAATGTTATACAGTCAGCTTGGTATTTATTTTCTCAAACAAGGAAGTTGTTGTTGTTACGCACTCACCACTAGATACATTACAGTGCACATATTATGACGCTATCATTATCAGCGTATACACCCCTCTGCCAACTTCACTCGCCATCTGCGGGACTACAACAGGCTAACTTTCATCTCATCCTCGATAATCTCCACTGGAGAATTATCGTAACGTATACCCTGGAGATTATCGAGGATGACTTTCATCTATGCGAGATCATTTCAGCGGTCTGATGAGTTTTACTTTCATTGCTTGGTTCTGTTAAGCTGTAAGGTCAGACGCTATGTGCTCGGGTTCCCGTACCTCTTCACAGAACTTTAATGTATACCTTTCTTTAATCACATTTTATTAAAATAGTTTGTAAACTTGATGAGTAACACAATGCACCATTGTTTGTTGTATGTTATGTAAAAGATTAACCAGTTAGGGCTTTCCTCAGAGATACCATTTGGTGTACAGGACAAAAGAGCTTTGAAAATCACGTGAATGGATCACTGAAAATCAGTGCTGACACCAAGTGTTCGCGAAAAGAGTAGGTATGCCCTGCCCTACTGGTAGCAAATGCCAGTGTTACGGCATCCCCTTGTAGTCTCTCTGTGTGAATGTCAATATAGAAGTACAATGTATGCGTTTCACATTACAGCGAGAAGTGTATTATACCAGTACTTACTTATCTTAGCCTGGTGGACGGGTACTCACCTATGTTATCTGTGCAGCCTACAAGGAACACGAGACGGAAGACAACTGTGTCAACTGAAGTTTCCTCTCCTCACCGTCAGTGTTGACAACACCAACCAACAGTCTGTATAGCATATGGATACACCCAGAGTGATAGCAGCTACTTTGTCACTCACAGTTTGCACACTAGAGCTGCGCATTTCTCGAGTCACAATATATTGTAAATAGTAACTAGGGCGTGAATCTTTCCAACCCGGAAGTACGTTCAATGATTTAGGCTCAACACGACCGGGATGCGGTGTGATCTACCCACTGATATGTGGGCATGTTAAAGTCATGTTGCATACCATTCACAATTTCATGCCAAACCTCTCTCTCTCTCTTTCTCTCTCTCAATGGTATATAACACAATGCTTTCATTGCTGCTTTTACAACACTAGTGCAGTTCCAAATGTTTGTACTACAAACAGTAAGAGTTGTTAGAAACGTGCAGATTGCAATTTTGAAAAGCATATTTCAAAAAGGTCAGTCAATGTTGATATTGACATCGACAATACCAGTGAACGGTAACAAACTAGACTGACTGTCCCGCTCATAATCACCCTTTATCTACTTGTGTGAACCAGTTTCAGTCCTGTGGACGACAAACCTGTGTTACACGGGGACGTGCTGCGATCCCCTCTCGTGCTACGATGTGAAACAGTGTGAGCACCCAGACTGTACTTTAGATGAACCAGTAACGCATACTCCTCTGAAGTCTTAGTAAAAAATGAATCAATGAACGAATCGCGTTCCACCCTCGTTTAAGCCTGGTTGTTACATTTGTTTGAGTGGCATTCTAGAAGTTGGTGGTATAGAGATGACAAAACTTTAGGGATATCATATGCTTGAAAACAGTAAAAGAATCTAAACCAAAACGTCGCCATTGTGAAAATAAAGAAGTTGATCATCCATAACGTTTCGTCATCTCTGGCTGCTACACTTGGTTACAGAGAAAGTCACGATGTAACAGTAATTGTGTTGACATGAACAGGGAATACTGTATTCGTGGGATACCATAGAAGATAAACGAGTTCCGTTAACACGGTGTCTAATGGGTGGGTGTGTTAGTTTGATCACCCAATTCAAATGACACATGTAAATATGAAGAGCAATGTCTGTTTGTTCTAAGGAATACGTCGTCATATGAGCGAAATATTCTCAAGCACGACGTAAAACCCAATTTCACCTCACCTCACCTCTAATGAAATACATGTACTGTTGCAAATCCAGTAGCGTATGAATATTGATATGTACTTTTCAACGTTTGCTAAGAATCACGTTTTGATGATATCAAACAATCATCCAGCAGATAAAGATTAAAATATCCCGGTACACGATGATAGGTAACCCCTACTGGACCTCAGTTTCAAGATGAACGAGCTGCAGATTGCCTTCTCCCGACATCCTGTCTCCCAACAACTGTTCAGGTTTGTTACTTCGTTATGTAACGTCGAACTCAGCAATATTCCAGCTATATGGCGGCAGTCTGTAAATAATCCAGTCTGGACCAGACAATCCAGTGATCAACAGCATGAGCATCGATATACGCAGTTGGGATACGATGACATGTGTCAACCAAGTCAGCGAGCCTGACCATCCGATCACGTTGCTCGCCCTTTACGGAATGCATGGGTTGCTGAAAACCAATTCTAACCCGGGTCTTCACGGGTTCCAACAGCACTACAGGAGCCCAGCAATGAAGAGCGAGACAATCATCCATTGGCAATCGGAGATGATGGCGCTTGGATGTAATCTTGTGTGTTTTGAAATATGGGTCTGTTTCTGTGATTTGCTGACGTTTCAATTTCGGTCAGATACTTTAATTTTGACATGTCATCTGAGTGATTATTGCTCACATGCTGTTAGTCATTGTCATGTCAGACCACAGACTTCACGCCATGTTGACTGTGGTTATCTCAACACATACACTCGATTAGATTATTTCCTTAAAAAGGTCATCAATAACATAGAGAAGCATACGCTCAAACATGGACGATGTGAACATGTCTGTGTACACTAGTGGTGGTCCGATTAATTGAAATAATCGAAGATTGGTCGCAGTGACTAAACGACCAAGCAATCGATCATGTTTTCTCATAATCGAACACAAACAATTCTTGAAACACTTGTTTTCATAAACAATATTTTTCACAAGGTTGGTTTTGTCTGTTACATTTCATAAGCACTACAAGCTCGTTTCAAGTCATGATTGAATTTATCTTAAAGACTCCAAGAAATTTATGCTCCTGGCATACTAGTCATCCTTTAAAGAAGTGAAATTTTGCCAAAAACACCCCAAAAGAACTACATGTTTTTTCCTTATATTTATGTGCATTAACAAACATTAATGACGCTAACCAATTTTTTCGATGATTGATCGGTTGTAATAAACCAATCATCAATTATGAGATTTTAACCAATTCCCAACACTAGTGTACACACATTAATCAAGGGTTCTTTGTTCTGTTACGCCCATTAATGATTTTATGAGCACTTCAGTCAGTTTACCCTAATAGAGTTACCTCCCCGGTGGAACTCTTCCGGAGGAGATAGACTTGTGATCCCTCACAACATGATGTCGTCTGCTTTCAGCAGCTCACATTTAGGAACCAATTAACCAAGGTTAGACAATTACACAGTCCCCACAGTGTAAGTTTTATTCCCTTTTATCTCTGTAAGGTTTTTGCCACTTTCACTATTACTTTTAGTCAGGAAATGAGCATTAAATGTAATTTTAAATGTTTTGAACTTGTTCTGTGTTTTGGCTCCATTAGCAGAGGTCACACATTTTTACTTCACTGAAAATATGATTTTATATTTGAATTCTCTCTTTATTAATTATTGATGTAGGAATCATTTCCATGAATTAAATGCATTCTTGTTTCATATTAGAATGTCTAAATAAGCTTAAACATTTTGTACAGTTTTATTTCAATGACCTTTTAAATTATCAAGTCATTACTGATTTATCTAGCCATTATTGTAGAACTAATTCGATCTTTTTATGTCCATTTCAGTCTTTTATACAAGACTGAATAACTGGTCACAGTACATTCTTGCTATTAGGTGTGCTGTTATGGCAGTAGCAAGGATCAACTTCAATATTTACGTTTAACTTCAACTAAAGATAGTTCAAGTGCATGGAACAGCTGCGATCACTCAACACAACGCCAAATAGGGCGGGTCTCCTAATCTCAGGTCCACATTCTGACACGCCCACATCCTCGCGGTGCATTGCTCGGTTTCCCAGACGCATCAGCAAGTTTATCCGGGAAGTGATGTCAATGTGACGGCAAGGGAAGAAATATTATCTGTATAACACTGCACTGAAATAGAGGATAATGTCAGTTACGACTTAAAGCCGAGAGCATCGTCACCGTCAGTAAGAAGAAATAACTATCATCTAACACTATTGTTTTACAACAAAGATCAACAATATTACTCCTCACATCTCGGGTGTCTTGGGCGCCAAGTCTGAAGCCAGGTACACGTTTTATAAGTACCGCCGTTTTATAAGTATAAGCCATCTTCCATGGTATTAGACAATACCATGTCAGGGGACACCAGACTCAGAGCTTCAGACAACGTACCTAAATATAGAATGTGACCTGGGCGTGGGAGGAACGCTTTAACCACTCGGCCACCTCACCGCCTGACCAAACCACCAAAGCCTTGACACCAGATGAAAGGTCGTGGATTCGAGGGTCTAAGAGATCAGTTCGGACATATGTACCCACGGTAGGCGTCTGCCACATCTGGCCTACACGGTGTCACTGTTGTAGTGTTGTAGTCCAGGTAATACCGTCTCCTGTCTGTATTCACGTAGTGTGGTGTCTCTGTACCACCACGGTGTTCACTGTGTAGTGTGTACTAGTGTGTTCGCTGTTGCAGTAGGCCGTGCATCTTGTACCACTGTCTGTATTCACGTAGTGTGGTGTCTCTGTACCACCACGGTGTTCACTGTGTAGTGTTGTAGTAGGCCGTGTCTCCACTGTCTGTATTCACGTAGTGTGGTGTCTCTGTACCTCCACGGTGTTCACTGTGTAGTGTTGTAGTCGGCCGTGTCTCCTGTCTGTATTCACGTAGTGTGGTGTCTCTGTACCTCCACGGTGTTCACTGTGTAGTGTTGTAGTAGGCCGTGCATCTTGTACCACTGTCTGTATTCACGTAGTGTGGTGTCTCTGTACCTCCACGGTGTTCACTGTGTAGTGTTGTAGTAGGCCGTGTCTCCTGTCTGTATTCACGTAGTGTGGTGTCTCTGTACCTCCACGGTGTTCACTGTGTAGTGTTGTAGTAGGCGTGTGTCTCCTGTTTGTATTCACGTAGTGTGGTGTCTCTGTACCTCCACGGTGTTCACTGTGTAGTGTTGTAGTACGCTCTGCCTCTTGTACCACTGTCTGTATTCACGTAGTGTGGTGTCTCTGTACCACCACGGTGTTCACTGTGTAGTGTTGTAGTAGGCCATGTCTCCTGTCTGTATTCACGTAGTGTGGTGTCTCTGAACCTCCACGGTGTTCACTGTGTAGTGTTGTAGTAGGCTGTGTCTCCTGTCCCTGTCTGTATTCACGTAGTGTGGTGTCTCTGTACCACCACGGTGTTCACTGTGTAGTGTTGTAGTAGGCTGTGTCTCCTGTCTGTATTCACGTAGTGTGGTGTCTCTGTACCTCCACGGTGTTCACTGTGTAGTGTTGTAGTAGGCCGTGTCTCCTGTACCCTGTCTGTATTCACGTAGTGTGGTGTCTCTGTACCTCCACGGTGTTCACTGTGTAGTGTTGTAGTAGGCCATGTCTCCTGTCTGTATTCACGTAGTGTGGTGTCTCTGTACCTCCACGGTGTTCACTGTGTAGTGTTGTAGTAGGCTGTGTCTCCTGTCTGTATTCACGTAGTGTGGTGTCTCTGAACCTCCACGGTGTTCACTGTGTAGTGTTGTAGTAGGCTGTGTCTCCTGTATCCCTGTCTGTATTCACGTAGTGTGGTGTCTCTGCACCCTCCACGGTGTTGACGTACTGCCTCGGAGCCATGGCGTATTGGTGATCGACGTCCTCGTACGCTGATGTAGAGGCGTAAACGTTTGTAGTTTGGGCATCTGAAACAAATAACACTTCAAATGTTACTTCAAGTACAGAGTGTATTTTATGACAAATTTTCGTTTGCGTCACTCGTGTCCTAGCATGTTTAGTGTACAAAGCATTCTTGTGTTTTTGACTGTCTAAGTCATTCTCATTCTTGTTTTTGTGATAAC